TTCAATACTTTTATCGAAACGTCAAAAACGACACTGTTCTATGGATTTTGTACGAAATACCATCTTATGACGTCATCATATATCCGCGTTAAATAGCACACTTATATCTAAAAAAATGCTAGAATAAATAGAAAATTAAGTATATCGGCAAATCAATGAATGAAAGTGTAACTATTTTTCAATATTTAATTGGACTGAAAAATCAAAATAATTTATTTTTGACCCAGCCAACTACCCAATAGGGGGGGGGGGGAATCATCGAATGACTGCTCCCGCCTGGGTGAGGCGGGAGGGAGTGTCAGACTCTTACTGACTAAAAACCACCCCGTTCCTTCTCCTGCACGTCGAGCCGGAGCCCCGGTTACCCGTTAGGTTCTCCGCGACAGGCGCGTAGGTATAGTTCGCGTTTCGTCCGTTTGTATGAAGTTGGAATACTGTATGATATTATTACCGTAACATGGGACTTATAACAAAACTGGAGAAAAGTGTGTGTTTCATTGTATAAGCGCAATTTTGTCTTATCACCACGGGGAATACAATGTCTGTTGTTGATTTATGAATTATGATATGACAATGACATAGAATGGAATGTTAACAGCACAAACGAGTGATAACGTTCATTATATCATTTGTTGATGCAGTTGTAGCCCACAAGAGTTGATAAGTATTAATTTGTAAACCATTTAGTATACAAGGTGTAGTTTTGAAACCGTGACATTTCTCGGGGGCATGTCACAGAAGTCATAAAGGTTTCAATGCAAGAGAAAGTTTCGGGCCAATAGTTAAAAATACGGCTATAATGAATCGTTTAAGTTCGACAGTATTTCAGAATAAGCGACAGCAATGTTTCTTATTGGAGTTTTATGGAATTAGGAATAATAACAATTACGTGTTTGAGTTTGTGTGTGTTAAGCCGCGTTATAAAGCTAGTTACAAGACGGCGGTGTGTAGTTCGCACTTACAGATTTCCGTATTTTCAGAAAAATGAAAAATATTTACCTACATATTTTTTTAATGATTCGGACTCAGAATCGATATCCGAGTTACCTCCTAGAAAATGACGCAGCTTTAAAACAACACCTTGTGTAGTGCATGTTGTGCTTAGATTGACGCACTAGTATTTAAGCTATCGTAAATGTAACCCTGTATTGTATCAGTGCAATCAATTAAGGTACTTTCCTTAATTAAAATTAAATAATTTTGACTGGCCAATAAAATATTATATTAAAAAACTAGCGACCCGCCCCGGCCTCGCACGGGTGCAATATGCATGTACTCAAACTCATACTCAAACTCTTTATTTGCATGTTAAGGTAATACATACAGGTCTTATGAAATAACAGGCACAGCTTAACGGCCTTTTTCAGGCGTCCTGTATTAAACATATAAACCTTCCTAAAGAATCACTATCTATTTAAAAAAAACCGTTTTAAAGATCTAAGCATACATAGGGACAGACAGACGGCGGATAGCGACTTTGTTTTATACTATGTAGTGATACTGGTAATCACACTTTTATTAATTAATTTTATGACCAACTTAATTTAAGTATTTTAACAGCAAATTTTTAACAAATAAGTATGCTGTTTGACGCTAAAAAAACGTGACGTCACAATACACAATCTCGCACACAATTCATAGAAAACTGTCGTTTTTGACAGTTCGAAAAAAGTAATGAATTTGACTTGTTGGCAAGTACACGATTGTTATGAGCTTAATAAAACAAAAAATATAAATCAGTAGTATTTATGCATCTTTTTATTAGTCACGTTATTAGATAAAAGAAAATACGATAATGAAAGCGAGGGAACGGTTTCCTTGAACTTAAATATACCTATAGAACATTCTGATATTGTACATTAACTCCTCGAAACCTGTGAAGTACCAATGTGACGTTTTCCGAGTTATATGTACTTCCTAAGAGTATTTAGACACCACTGACAAACGGTGAAGGAAAACATCGTGAGGAAACCTGGGCTTATAATTTTATGTTTTTATAATAAATACAGTGAGACACATATGTGAATTGTGCCCGGTATATGGCAATAGGCTCACCCCCTATTACACGGGACTCATAACATAAATAGTGAAAAGTGGATGTTGCATTGTACAGTGGCATAATATGTGCACCTGTGCCTCCCCCTTCGGGGATAATGTTATGATAAGGCGTGATGTTATGTAATGAGTATTAAACAAACTTACATACAATACAAACGGTCGTATTTATATTGTTAGTAGGATAACTAGTACAGGCTAATGTTTAACCACAGTTTTGATAATATAAGTACTTAATAAACTTACGTGGCAGATAAGATTCTACTAATATTATGAATGCTATAGTTTGTATGTTTGTCTGTATTGTTTGACTGCCTCATTGGCCGAGTGGTCGCAAGTGCGACTGCCGGGCAAGGGGTCTCGGGTTCGATTCCCGGATATGGCAAATTATTACTAAGTTTTTTAAAAATCTCAGTAGTAGCACGGAGTCTGGAATTGTGCCCGGTATATGGCAATAGACTCACCCCCTATTACATGAGACTCATAACATAAATAGTGAAAAGTGGGTGTTACATTGTACAGTGGCATTAAGTGCTGTAATGTGCACCTCTGACTAATTTATTAATTCATTTGAAACAGGGGTAGATTATGTTCTATGTGTGATACATAGGCTTTTTATCCCACCTGAACGCGGGCGAAACCGGTGACAGGAGCTAGTCTAATTGGGATGATGACAGGGTATGAAAATTAAAAATCTAATTAGTCCGTAAGTTAGGTAATGAAAAAATATTAGACACGTATTTTTTTTTGTCGTATAATAAAACAATACTTGGATAAAACGAATCAAAGTTTAGGAGTGGGGGCTAAAACGTCATATGTACGTATAAAATGTACATAGAAGTGACGTCACGCGACATTACAAATTAATATATCGTCGAAAGTATTCGTTTTTGTAATAAAATAAAAAATACGTGTCTAATGATTTAAAATAATCTACCAGACGGACATTAAAATAAAAATTAGACATTTACCCTATTGTAATAGAACGAAAAAAAAAGTGGTCAAACGTCGGCCCATCAAATATATACAAAAAAATACAATATACATACCTGGGGCATTATACTGGTACTTGTAACATTCTGGAGGGAAATTTGTATAATCATAGACCAAGGAATGTCGCTCCGCAGATGATATAGTGACCACATCCTCTTCTCTATGCGCTGTAACTACCACAATGGCCTTCAAACGGCTCAAATCCACATAATTCGAGACATTTTTCAACGCCTCACCGATTTCCAAATTGTTCTTTTCACCCAAAACAGGATACGGACCGCCGCCATGATTTAAAAACAACGATGGCGCGAAATAAATGTCCTCCATTTTGATTTTTGTTACGAAATTAAGTGTTAACACTGTGAGCGTAGTCGTGAGTAATGTCACTGCATTAACTGTATTTGTCATCGTTTTTTTATATTCTGTTTTCCTCAATTAAGATGAGTATGACCAGACTAAAAATTTTATTAAACTACTATTTTAAAATGTAATTCTACTAAAACCAACTTATTAAACGTGCTGTGTGTGGCGCTAGTGTCTTAGTAAAAAGGACTAAGTTAAGACGTTTTTGTAAGCACGTTAATTAGTTCCAATGTTTGCCGTCTGCAAATATTAATTTGTAACTAGTGCTATTTGTATTTAGAGTGCAAAGTTTATGATAATGAATAACAAAAAGTACCTAATGATATAGATATGGCTTCAAATACATATTTATTTGTTTCGTGTAGTCTTTCCTAACCTATGACGACTTCACATCATTATTAACTTATTGTTATTTAATTAAAATTTAAAATAAAATCCGCTAATAATGTTCAATAATAAAATCTCATTTGAAATATTTGTTAGGAACATTGTAAATTAATAATATCTTATACTAGTACATAAAATGGAAGTTTTTGTTTTTTTGTTTGTTTGTTTGAACGCGCTAATCTCCGTAACTACAAGTTTGATTTGAATAATTATTTCTGTGTTGGATAGCGCATTTATCGAGGATGGCTATAGGCTATAAAACATAACGCTACGACCAATAGGAGCTGAGCAAGTAGCTAGTTACTATATATTTGCCTTTGTTTGAATATTTACATTATCTTCTTCTATTCTTTTTTTTTGACTGTGGGAGAGCCATGCTTCGGCACGAATGGGCCGGCTCGACCGGAGTGATACCACGGCCGAGCAGAAAAACGACGTAAAATAACGATGGCGTTGTGTTTCATCGTGTGAGTCAGGTTACCGGAGGCCCAATTACACCCCTCCCTAATCTCTGAATCCTCAACAATCCTCAAATTCCTAATCCTCAAACTGCCGGTAACGCACTTGTTACGCCTCTGGTTTTACAGGTGTCTATGAGAGACGCCGATTGCATACCACCAGATGATCAAACCGGTCAAGCCGGATCAAGCCCAAAAAATACTTAATCTATCTACAAAATTCGTCAGCCAAAGGTATGTGAATTCGTTCAGCACTTTTTGAGTTCAACACTAATAGACAGTCGTATTTGCGACCACTCGGCCAACGAGGCCAAAAGGCAAGGGATCTCGGGTTCGATCCCCGTTTCGGGCAAAGTATTACAGGGTTTTTTAAAAATTCTCAGTAGTAGCAATGAGTCTGGAATTGTGCTCGGTATATGGCAATAGGCTCACATGGGACTCATAATACAAATAGTGAAACATGGGTGTTACATTGTACAGTGGCATAATGTACACCTCTGCTTCCCCTTCGGGGATAAAAAAGGCGTGATGTTATGTTATGTTACTAACAGACAAACAAACACAAATTATAGTATTAGACTTTCTATTTAATAATACCTAAGACCTAATCATTTACTCATGTCCCTGGGACGCGCCGGACTTCAGTGTTCCGGTGTTTTCATGGTTGTATCTACTGTAGATCCTGGTGCACAGGAGTTGCAGCGGTTTTGGGAGGTTATGGCGGGGTTGTCCCATAAAAAAGACCTAATCATAACAAACGCTAGAATCATTGTAAAACCCAATCATTCTAGTGTTCAAAACTCGAAAACCTAATCGGTCAGGATTTTCAAAATGGCTTTCAATAAAATTGTGATGACTTGCGACGTGAGTAAAAGTTGTTAAAGTAAGAGTATTGCAGGTTAATCCGTCCGCAGGGGCCGTGGATACGATTCCCCGGAGGTAGTATTTTGTGACTCCATTTTCTTGTTCAGGGAATGACAGGCCTCCGCCGCTGTCACCTTTGCAGACTGTCGCTGTTCCTGTTTGTAGAAAAAAAAAGAAATTATTTACTTTTTGATTTTAGATTAATACACATTTAATTGTAGAATTTTATGTAGTCTTTTTATGTCACGTCCCACAAAGCCAAGATACGCCTTTCTACACTACACTACGCCATGTTACGCCACATTACTCCATGATACGCCACGCCACGTCACGTCATGCCACGTCGCGCTAGATCACATCTCATGCCTAATTAATTGAAATAAATGCTTTGAATTCGACTCATGTTAAGTATTATTAACTCAAGATATAATTTTACTGACTTCAAAAATAGTAGTCCGAGGTACTATGTTCGGATTATTGTTTCTTTTAGAACTTATGGCACCGACTTCTAACCTATCAGTGAATGAGTAACCTATCAGTACTAACTAATAGTAGGGATTTTCAAGCTTTTACTTTTTGTTTAGTTTTCGGTTTTTTGAAGTCTTACTTTATGTCCTATGAGTCCTGTCACATTCGCGGAGAACCTAACGGGTAACCGGGGCTCCGGCTCGACGTGCAAGAGAAGGAACGGGGTGGTTTTTAGTCAGTAAGAGTCTGACACTCCCTTCCGCCTCACCCAGGCGGGAGCAGTCATTCGATGATTATCCCCCCTTAAAAAAAAAAGTCTCCTCACATTACGTCACGTGTCATGAGTTACCATTAGTAGTCATGCTAGCTAAGGAGCAGGCGGAACGAACCTCCTCAAGCCCCAGCCGCCAGCGAGAGACACTCTGGGCGTCGGGGATCGCAAAACGATATCCGGCCACCGTAAGCACGGGCCTGCGGACGGCGAGCACGCACGGTGACTCGCCGCCCGACCAGAACCAGATCCGAGCGTACGGCGCCGAGCGTTCCGCGCGCGCCTCAAAGAGCCATCAGACCACCACGGATGGGGCCCAATAGGACTGATGCCGATACGGAGCCGCGGAAGAATTTAAGGGGTTGCCGGGGCTCCGGCTCGACGTGTAAGGAGTAGGAACGGGGTGGTTTTTAGTCAGTAAGAGTTTGTCACTCCCTCACACAGGCGGGAGAAGTCATAGATGACTTTCCTCCCTCAAAAAAGACTTACCATTCGTATATCCAGCACAAATTTTGTCTACAGTAATGTACACTTTGAAAGCAAACGAAGTTTCGTTGAGACACTGCTGTATGCCGACGCTCGGGAGATCAGCTACCTTCAGGTATGGTGACGGTTCTCCTGCTTCTGAAGTATAGCCCCAACCAGCTACCTGGTGGGAGAAAGAAAGAGAAAATACATACATACATAACTTCACGCCTGTCTCCCATGAGGGTAGGCAGAGACTAAGGAACGCCAATTACTACGATTCTTACATACCTCTTTCGCTTCATTAACAGTCATCAATCTTTTCATGCATGCTCGTCGGTTAAGGGTACTTTTAATTTGGCCCTTCTTTAATATATCGCCAATCTGGTCACTATATGTCCGTCTAGGGCGCCCTCTACCGACGGCTCCATTCATATCCGCTCTGTATACTTCTTTCGTTACTCTCTACTTTCATCCATCCTTTCTTGGATGAAAATAATTATTTAGAAATATATAGAGACATTTAGAAATATATAGAGACCGCAGAGTTAAAACATTTATCACCATTTACTAAAATCGCGGGTTACTCACGTGATTATACTGAGGAAACTACAGTGAGCTGCGCGACATCGCCGCGACCGCGAACGCTGCTCATGAGCAAGAACCCCTCTGTGGTTCGAAACTAGTAGAGCTTTTCTCAGTATATTAACGAGAGTAACCCGCGATTTTAGTTAATTTAGTATGTCTCACGATAGTTATTATATTTGTCACCATCCCTACTCTTACCTTGGGTATCGTATACCCGACTAAGGGACTACATAACTAAGATCGGGCAGCAGCGTTCTAAAATCCTATGGTATCGACACGACTTTTTCTTTCGCCCAGCGCTTCTCTTCACTTCCACCTTACCCATCGTTATAAGATGAAGCAGCATGTATTTGTCATGTCTCAGTACGTGACCGAGATATTCTATCTTGCGCTTTTTGATGATTTAGATCATTTTGCGTGGCATGTGGACGCGCTGGAGCACGGTATCGTTCCTGACCTTTTGCGTCCAACTTATATGCAACATCAGACGGTTCACCACATTTCAAACGCCTTTATGCGTCTAATGGTGTCATTTTTTAAGGTCCATGCTTCGTAACCGTACATAACGATAGGCCAGACGTAGCACAGTGTCGCGGAGAACCTAACGGGTTACCGGTGCTCCGGCTCGAAGCGCAGGAGAAGGTACGGGGTGGTTTTTAGTCAGTAAGAGTCTGACACTCCCTCCCGCCTCACCCAGGCAGGAGAAGTCATTCGATGATATTCACCCCCTAAAAAAATAAATTAATTGAGACGTAGCACAGTAGCATCCGAACTCGAAGCAGAAATTGGTTCCGATTTGAAAAAATAAGAGGAGATTTTTCTATTCGAATATGGTGCTGCTAACCATCCTACCTTTCCTTAGCGTCTTCTAATAAATACAGCTAATAACTTTAACCGACCTGACATTTAACAAATAAATGAAGAATTTTGTATATTTTGTAACTAAATAAAGTCAGTTTTAGATTTGACAGATAAAAGCAAGCCTGTAGGCTAGGCTGTAAGCCGCGTCGACGCTGTTTTTTGTTCGAGAATACAAAAATGTATGGAGAATTGTCAAATATAATTTAACTATCGTAAGACAAACTAAATTAACTAAAAATCGCGGGTTACTCACGTGAATATACTGAGAAAAGCTCTACTAGTACTACTAGCCTACTTATAGGCTCATACAGTAGGCTGCGCGATATCGCCGCGATCGCGCACGCTGCTCATGAGGAAGAACCCCTCTGTGGTTCGAAACTAGTAGACCTTTTCTCAGTATATTCACGTGAGTTACCCGCGACTTTTAGAAAACTGTCAAATAGTTTCAAATCACGGCCGTCACAGCATTGAGCGCTAGTGTAGCGTATGTCAGTGAATACGATAATTTCGTCGCTGCAGCAGCGCTGCAGGCAACCCTGTATCCTTAGAGAATAGCCCTGTATTTGTAGCAACGTCGAATCGTATGCTAATGTAATCTTTTGAAGTAATTTTCAAGTGTGGGAGAGCCATGCTTTGGCACGAATGGGCCGGCTCGACCGGAGTGATACCACGGCCTCACAGAAAACCGACGTGAAGCAACACTTACGTTGTGTTTCGTCGTGTGAGTGAGGTTACCGCAGACCCTCCCCTTCCCCAATCTTCCCAATCCCTGAATCCCCAACGATCCTCAAACTCTTAATCCCCAAAAGGCCAGTAACGCGCTTGTAACGCCTCTGGTGTTCCAGGTGTCCATGGGCAACGCCGATTGCTTACCATCAGATGATCCGTCTGCCCGTTTACCGGCTTATGCCATAAAAAAAACCAATAACTGTACCTTCCCCATATTCCCAGGCTCCAAATGTCTCTTATCCATTTCAGACCCAAAATCCAGGCAGACCGGTTGAACCAGCATTTTGAAAAAGAAACTCTTGCCTAAGATGACTATCGCCAAATCATCTTGAAAGTTTGTCTGGACCCCGCGGTAATGTGGCGGGATTTTTATATCTATTACCTGTGAAAATATGGAAAAAGGGTGTTAAAATGGTCAAATAGAATTTATTTTTCGCCAACCTCACTCTTCTCGCCTGGTGTCGTAGTGGCTCGTGTAAAAGTTTTAAGTGTGGGAGAGCCATGCTTCGGCACGAATGGGCCGGCTCGACAGGAGTGATACCACGGCCTCACAGAAAACCGACGTGAAGCAACGCTTGCGTTGTGGTTCGTCGTGTAATTGAGGTTGCCGGAGGCCCAATTATCCACCCCTTCCCCAATTTCCCCAATTCCTGAATCCCCAACGATCCTCGAACTCCTAATTCCCCAAAAGGCCGGTAACGCACTTGTAACGCCTCTGGTGTTCCAGGTGTCCATGGGCGACGCCGATTGCTTACCATCAGGTGATCCGTCTGCTCGTTTACCGGCTTATGACTTAAAAAAAGTGGTGAAATAGAATACATTTTTCGCCAACCTCACTCTTCTCGCCTGGTGTCGTTTAGTTTCGTGCGTTAGGTTTAAGACCGCTTCTCATGCATTAGAATGCGCTTTCGAAACCTACCAAAATGGCAAGTGAAATCTATTTTGAATTCAACTGTTATTCTGGACTAGGAATCCTTAATAGATGACCAGTTCCACAAAGAATATGGCGTCTATTAATGACGTCACCATTTTAAGTAGTACCACCGTCGACATCCTACAACATGCGTATGTAAATAGTACTAACATCTCGTTGCTGAACCTCCTCATCTTGCTCATCATTCCATGCCCTGAACAGCTTCCCCGCTTGGACTGCATACCTGCAGGGAGGCTCCATGTCTCCCAGCGTCCAGAAGCAGTGGGCAGCTGATGAACATAAGAGTTTTAGCGTTATTTTCAATGGCAATGTCATCTCTATTATGCCAAAGGGTCGCGCGCGCCTCAAAGAGCCATCAGACCACCACGGATGGGGCCCAATAGTGCTGATGCCGATTCGGAGTCGCGGAGAAACTAACGGGTAACCGGGGCTCTGTCTCGAAGTGCAGAAGTTGGAAGGAGGTGGTTTTTAGTCAGTAAGAGTCTGACACTCCCTCATCAGAATAAATGGTTTTTCTTAATTTATTTGTATGATTTTCCCCCTTAAAAAAATATATACCAGTGTGAGTGAGGTTACGGGAGGCCCGATACATCACTGCTTAACGGCAACAGATTTGCAATTCCTCTGATGTTGCGGGTGTCACAACGCGGCATCCTCAAGTCTCCCTAAATGTCCGGCAACGCACTTGTTACTCGCCGTGTGTTGTGTATCTCCATTGGCTCTGATGATTGCTTACCATCAGGTGCCTGTTCATGATATTGAAAACTCAAAGACTGAATTTTACTGAATAGAGTGTAATTAATACATTTGCGTCCGATCGCGAGCGCGTTTGATGGCGGTGTGGCGGGGCTTCCGCGACGCGCGCTGTCATGGCCGCTCTAGTGAGGGGGAACATTCGGCGATAGCAATGGGGCACGACTTTAACATGACCCGCCTGATCTTTTGCTACCTATACCATAAAAAATCGCCTCAAAGAGCCATCAGACCACCACAGATGGGGCCCAATAGGGCCGATGCCGATTCGGAGTCGCGGAGAACCTAACGGGTAACCGGGGCTCCGGCTCGACGTGCAGGAGAAGGAACGGGGTGGTTTTTAGTCAGTAAGAGTCTGACACTCCCTTCCGCCTCACCCAGGCGGGAGCTGTCATTCGTCGATTTTCCCCCCTTAAAAAAAATGCCATAAAAAATCAACTGACCAGATATTACAGTTTTCCTGCTGATGATAGATCCTCCACAGATCTGTTCATAAGGCTTATTCTTCTTGTAATATATCCCAACATGCCAGGGCAGCTCACCGTACTTCGCTGGTCTACCACCAGACATAAGAGGTGTACCTTTCGCTATTATTGTGCCGCATTCTGGAAAATAGATTGGTAGTAGAACTTAGAGGTATAATAACTATCGTGAGACATAGAAAATTAACTAAAATCGCGGGTTACTCACGTGAATATATTGAGAAAAGCAAGGAGCTGGTAGCAGAACTTATTTATTTATCTCAAAGTCAAAGTCAAAGCCAAAATTATTTATTTCTATTAGACCAGGAAGGCCCTTTTGAACGTCAACAAAAAAAATTAAAAGTGAAGCTATTTACTCATTCCAAGGTGTAGATTCGATTCGTATGGAGAAGAACGAGCAAAAAACTTCATAGGTTACTCTTTTTCAATCAGGTTCACAATACAATTCTCTAGTTACACAGTTTTGGTTCGATTGCTCAATCTCTTTACTGAAGGCTCGACTGAAGTGATACCACGGCCGAGCAGATAATAAATATATTTTTTATAAACTATGTTTAAATGTCAATTAATGTAAAAGTTAACAAACACATAACATAACAAGCAGGGGTGCACATTATACCACTGTACAATGTAACACCCACTTTTCACTATCTATGTTATGAGTCCCATGTAATAGGGGGTGAGTCTATTGCCATATACCAGGCACAATTCCAGACTCCGTGCTACTACTGAGAATATTTAAAAACCCACTAATACTTTGCCCGACCCGGGAATCGAACCCGAGACCTCTTGCCCGGCAGTCGCACTTACGACCACTCGGCCAACGAGGCAGTAAAAGTTAATTAACTCGTCGAGTACCGGTTTTATAGACACAATTAAAGAACAATAGGTCGCGGTCACCGGTGAACGCTTGGTGTTTGACAGATTAAACTGTCAAACACCGCGAGGACACCGGTGACCGCAACATATTGTTCTTTAATTGTCGCGGAGAACCTAACGGGTTACCGGGGCTCCGGCTCGACGTGCAGTAGAAGGAACGGGGTGGTTTTTAGTCAGTAAGAGTCTGACACTCCCTCCCGCCTCACCCAGGCGGGAGCAGTCATTTGATGATTTCCCCCCTTAAAAAAAATGTTCTTTAATTGTGTCTATAATGACGGTACTCAACGAGTTAATATACTAAAGCCCTTTGCCTATGTGTAACAAACACTTTTTCGAAAACCGCATCAAAATCGTTTCATCGGGTCTGGAGTGTGACACAGTGAGCACGGTATGTAACACTATTTTTGCGTCGACCCGGGATTCGAACCCAGCACCAACGCAGCTACCTGCGGGCGAGTCTAGCGCGCCAACAGTGTCACGGGCTCCGCCGTCGCCGATACCACGAATAGAGGAAAGTGCGCGTGAATCACGGCAGAGGGCGCGCTGGGCCCGCAGACTCGAGTAGCCAGTAGCAGCGCGACAGTCGCCGCGTCGCGGGTCGCGGAATGCTGCTCATGAATATGAGCCTCTAGCATGGCTTGAAACTAGTCGAGTTCCTCGTCAAATTATTACGTGAGTAAGCCGAAAACATAATAATCAAATCGGTTCATACGGTTAACACATACACAGGTCAAAATCAGAACCTCCTTTTTTTGAAGTCGGTTAAAAAAGAAATACAGTGAAACCTGGTTAAGTGAGACACCAATGTCGTTTCACTTATAGAGGTATTCCATGTACACACGTGTGGAGACACTGGGTGTCTCAGATATACAAGTATAAATAAATATCTGTCTCATTTACAGAGGGTTCCATTAAAATAGAGGTGGACTTGGAATTACGCGTGGAATATGTGGGTAGAATAAGAATGAGTAAACAAACAATGTTATCTCAGTTACAGAGGTTTATGCATATAAAATTTACTCGCTGTCTCAGTTATAGAGGTAACTATGAAGATAAATCGAAAGAACAAATCCCAGATATTTATCCCAGAGGTTTACCTCGTCCTACTAACAGGTAATTCAGTGACGAAGTGATGGGACCTCAGCATGAGTTCCAGTTATGGTCCCATTTAACCAAGTTTCACTGTAATATGCTGATGTTAAGAACTCACCCGGTCGACATGTATCAGGCATATGGTCCCACGTTCCATTCACACAGGTCATTACGTTCAAAGGGACGCGAGAAAAATAGTGGACCTTACAAAATGGCTGAACCTTGAATCCAGAAGGTACAACGTAATCACATTTGGTGTAGCCATCTGCTGGATCATCGGAGATTAAGCAGCGGAAGTCCATGTCCTGGTAGCGAGCTAGTTTGCAGAGAACTGTAAAAATTAAAAAAAATGTGTTATTAGCTTTTATTTTTTTATGGAATACTAGCGACCCGCCCCGCTTCGCACAGGTGCAATGTGCATGTATTATACATATAAACATTCTTTATGAATCACTTTATCTATTAAAAAAACCGCATCAAAATCCGTTGCGTAGTTTTAAAGATCTAAGCATACATAGGGACAGACAGACGACGGATAGCGACTTTGTTTTATAATATGTATGTAGTGATAGTGAAGCCGGTAAACGAGCGGACGGATCACCTGATGGTAAGCAATCGGCGTCGCCCATGGACATCTGGAACACCCGAGGCGTTACAAGTGCGTTACCGGCCTTTTGGGGATTAGGAGTTTGAGGATCGTTGGAGATTCAAGAATTTGGGAGATTTGGGACGGGGTCTTCCCCTTAATTGATTACCCTTAATTGGGGAATTAGGGAGATTGGGGAAGGGGAGGGTAATTGGGCCTCCGGTAACCTCACTCACACGACGAAACACAACGCAAGCGTTGCTTCACATCGGTTTTCTGCTCGGCCGTGGTATCACTCCGATCGAGCCGGCCCATTCGTGCTGAAGCATGGCTCTCCCACACTTAAAACCGAATTACGTTTACTGAATTTCCTTAAAGGAGGTTGCCTTCGTCCCCACGCTTGTCAAAATTGCTAGAGAATCGCAATTATGTCACCGACCACTTAGATAACATTGCTACCATTTCCCAGTTAAACGCTGGTCATAGTTTTACCACAAAACTCAAAACTTACGTTCATCATCATCATCAACGGCCTATAAATGCCCACTGCTGAGCAAGGCCTCTTCTCACACGGAGAAGGTTTAAGCATTAATCACCACGCTTGCTCAATGCGGGTTGGCGATTTCAAACTTATAATTAGAAATTATAAGTCCAGGTTTCCTCACGATGTTTTTCCTTTACCGTTTGTCAGTGTCTAAATAATTTTAGAAAGTACATATAACTCGGAAAAAGTCACATTGGTACTTGCCGTTGGTAGGTTTCGATCCTGCACCCTCATGCATGAGAAGCGGGCGTCTTAAATCTCCGGGCCACAACGACACATGCACATACAAACTTACGTTTACAGGTTGGAAATGCATGAGCCCACTGTCCATTGTTGCACAAAACTGAAGATTTCCCCACTATTCTGTAAGGTGGGAAGCAAAAGTAGTCCAGGATCACAAAATCCAGACCAGGTGGAAAGGACTCTGGGTACGGAGCTTGGGTGTACGCTCCGTGTTCTGGGTGTGATGGTAAAGTACAGAGACTGGACCTGAAAAGAAGAATTAAGTCCAAAGTCAGTTTTTTGTGTTTTTCGGCTTACTGACATAGCTGGTTATTTGTGTCCTGTGTCGCGGAACGCTGCCCTTGGAGTGGCTTAAAACTAGTCGAGTGTCCGGTCAAAAGCCTTTTTTACGTGAGACGGAGCAGACGGATCACCTGATGGTAAGCTATCGGTGCCGCCCATAGATACCCGAAACATCACATGCGTTACAAATGCGTTGGTGACTAAGTATGGGAGAGCCATGCTTCGGAACGAATGGGCTGGCTCGACCGGAGTGATACCACGGCCAAGCAGAAAACCGACGTGAAATAACGCTTGCGTAGTGTTTCGTCGTATGAGTGAGGTTACTGGAGGCTCAGTTACCCTCTTGCGAATTCGCATAGCATCGCATCGCAGTTTTGTGTACGAGCCCTTACTCTCACTCGCGTAAACTCCTTAACTTTGTCTAGCCATAGCCGTAACGGTTAACTATATTATAACTTTCGTGAGCCATACTAAATTACACGTAATTGGGTACTTTCCTTAATCAAAAATATATTATTTCGACTGTTTAATACAATAAAACATTAAAAAATAATCACACTTTCACTAACTGATTTTATAACAAACTTAATTTTAATATTTTTCCAGAAAAAAATTTAGAAATAAGTATGGTGTAATAATAATTTAGAAATAAATATAATACGCTAAAAAACATGACGTCAAAATACACAATTTCGTTCAAAATTCATCTAAAACTGTCGTTTGGCAAGTACCCAATTGTACTTTCGCTATAAAATTGACTTCATTTCAATTATAGTAAAGATGTTGCATGCTAACCTCTTATGCCTCACTGCGAAGGGTTCATCCGCTGTCATATTTGTGATCCCAACACCCCCAGTGACAGAACAGTCCGCTGTGTCATTGCAAAGATCTGTAGTCAAGATCTCGTGTTCAAAATTCCTGTAAGTATAAATTTTCAATTTTTATTTAATCATTCATATCCCTTCACTTTACACCAGATATGTTATGAGTCCAAAGTAATATAATAGAAAGAAATATATAAAGAAGAAAAAACAGCGTATTTGCACCGTTACTTTTTTATGTCATAAGCCGGTAAACGAGCAGACGGATCACCTGATGGTAAGCAATCGGCGTCGCCCATGGACACCTGGAACACCAGAGGCGTTACAAGTGCTTTACCGGCCTTTTGGGGATTAGGAATTTGAGGATCGTTGGAGATTCAGGAATTGGGGAGATTGAGGAAGGGGAGGGTAATTGGGCCTCCGGTAACCTCACACACACGACGAAACACAACGCAAGCGTTGCTTCACGTTGAGGTGTGGGGAGCTAGTGTAAAATAAAACAATACGTCTGTCTCGTTTCACGGTGCTCTTTAATCTGACCCACTAACTACTAACTACAATAAGGTATACCCCACTTCACCTCCGGGGTAAAAGAAAAAAAAATTAAATTTAAAGATTACATTTTTTTTTTTTTGAACTTACAGCTAATTGCCAAACATAAATGTTAAATGCTAAATCCTTAATCATGTAAAGATTAAATGTACTTAAATTAAGCTTACATAATAAAATTTATTTATCTTTAACAAATAATTTTGTTCTATTTTTGTGAACAACATCAATTTTTCCATTTTTCATGATTTTTACATTTGGTTCTTGTTCTTCTATTACAATATATGGGCCGTCATATAAAGGTTTTAATTTATTTCCTGTTTCATTTTTTACTAACAACATATCATTTGGATTATACTTTATTTGATTTACAGTTTTATCATAAATTTGTTTTCTTTTCTCTTTACACTTTAACAAGTTTTCTCTGGCATCTCTATTAGCTACTTGTAACCTGTATTTTAATTCTAAACTGTAGTTATCAGGATTGTACAATGGTTCTATATTAGAAAAAATTCTACTTGGTATTTCACAGGGTTTACCAAAAACTAATTCGTACGGGGCATATTTTGTACTAGAGTGAACTGTATTATTATATGTGAAGCACCAAAATGGTAGCCATTGGCTCCATGTTTCTGGATGATTATCGCACTGTAGTCGTAAAAATGAACCTAGATGTTTATGTACATTTTCAAGTGAACCTATGGTTTGGTGATGGTATGCGGTAGAGTTTAGTTTTTCTATGTTAAGTAATTTACATACCTGTTCCATTGTTTCCGAGATGAATTCTGTGCCACGATCTGTAGTGATTGTTTTGGGAATCCCAAACCTTAAAATGAAATTGTTCACAAAACTTTTAGCTATACTTACGGTTTCCTTATTTTTAAGAGGATAAGCCTCAACAAACTTGCTTAACTCGCATTGAATTGTTAATATGTACTTATTATTTTCTAAATCTATATCTAATGGGCCTACTACATCTAAGAATACCTTTTCTAAAGCATAACTTGCTGTGGTTGTAATAACCATTGGTTCTCTAACATATCTGGAATGTTTCATTTTCTGACATTTCTCACACTTTTGGATGAAGTTCTTGACGTCATTTTCGATTCCTGGCCAGTAAAATTTACGTTTTATATTATTAATCATTCTGCGTACCCAGCGTGTCCGCTTGTTGGTAGCAGATGATAGTCATTAATAATAAAATTCTTTTCCTCGTCATTGTCTATTCTTTTTATTCCTCTTAAAATACAAATGCGTGGTCCGGACCACTGGTCTATTCCTTTTATTCCTTTTACAAAATTTTTATGAATAACGCGTTATCATCTTTTTTTATAATACAAATCTCTTTTATTCCTAATTTTTCACATATTTTTCTCAATTTTTCCACAAAAACGTCTCGCGTGTAATGTGCTTTAAAATCGAGATTAACATATAATATATTTTTATTGGCTATAAATGCGAAACATTCTGATTCGACATCTACGCTTTTATTCTCTTTCATTTTCTTTAATTCTTCACCTTTCACTAAACTTAACTCGACTGCACCACTCGGTATTCTAAGTATTTCCACAACTTTTGGTTGATCAGGCCAATCGTCTAGGCGAATACTTGGGATACCGCTTTTCACACCAACATTCTCACTTTCCTCCCCTTTCTCAGATTCTCTTATTCTTCTAGCTTGCGCTCTTGTTGTTACTGCTATTATTTTATCATTCATATCTTTTAAATCTTGTGAAGTTACACTTATTCGTGACAAAGCATCAGCTAGTACATTTTCTTTACCTTTGACATATGTTATTTTGAAGTCATACTCTTCTAGGGCTAATCGAAATTTCAGAAGTCTACTGGACGGATCTTTCATTCCAAACAGGTATATCAAAGGTTTATGATCTGTCATTATAGTGAAAGTACGTCCGAATAGGTATGGTCTGAAATATTTTACACTCCAAACTATTGCGAGAAGCTCTTTTTGTATTGTCGGATAATTTAGTTCTGCTTTATTCAAAGGCCTGCTAGTATAAGCTACTGGTTTCATGTCACTGTTACAAAGTACTGAGCCTATCGCTGTTCCAGAAGCATCGGTTTGTAATATAAATTCGTTCGAAAAATCTGGGTATGTTAAAATGGGTGGTGAAATAAGAGTATTTTTCAAAAAATTAAATGAATTCTCACATTGCTCCGTCCATTCAAATTTAGTATTTTTCCTACATAGTTTATTTAAACAATTGGTTATTTCTGCAAAATGTTTTATGAATTTTCTATAATAATTACACATAGCAACAAAACGTCTGACTTCATCAACATTAGTTGGTCTTGGGTAATTTTTTATACATTTAACTTTTTCTGGATCAGGGCGGATCCCTCCAGAAGATATTGTGTGACCTAGATACAATAATTCTGTTTTTAAAAATTGACATTTACTCGGATTTAATTTAAGATTGACTTTACGTAAACGTTCAAAAATTTCAATTAGGTTTTTATTATGTGATTCCAAATTTCTGCCAAAACAAATGCAATCATCTAAATATATAAAACAATTTATATAGTTTAGTCCTGACATAGCAATAGACATTGTCCTAGAGAAGGCACTGGGGCTCGTTTTTAAACCCATTGGTAGGCGCTTCATCTGGTATTGTCCTGTACTTGTGGTAAATGATGTAATTGGTCTAGACTCTGGTTTTAATGAACATTGGTAATAAGATTGACTAAGGTCTAAATGTGAGTAGTATATAGCACCTGATAACGAGTCTAAAATGTCGGTAATATTTGGTAATGGGAATTTGTCATCTTGAATTACCTCATTTAATTTTCTGTAATCGATCACTAAACGCCACTTTTTAATTTTCTCATTATCTGACTTTTTAGGAACTAATAATATCGGACTGGACCATTCACTTTGTGATGGTTCAATTATGTCATCGTCTAACATTTGTTTAATCTGATTTTCTATTTCCGGTTTTAAACTATGTGGTAATCTGTATGGTTTGGTATATACTGGACTTACATTTTGTTTTAAATGAATCGTTTGTTCCTCTAAGTTAGTAGTAGTAAGCTTATCGCCGGGTAAATGAAATATGTCGGTATATTTAGAACAAATACTCTCTATACTGTTTCGTTCGCTTGTACCTAAGTGATCAAGTTTCAAGGTTTGCAACAATGTTGTTGCTCGTGTGGGATTAGAGTCACATTTATTAAACGAGCATACATTGTATTGTTTTAAAGGTAATAATTCAGGTTGAAAAACTGAAATAACTATATCTTTATCGCTGGTATTCATTAGCCTGATAGGTATTATGTTATTTTTTGGTTTTACTATCAACCCAGCCAAAAATAAATTTTCTTGTAACTCCTTCTGCACAATCACACTGTCTTCTCTCACATCTGAGGTTAGCTTTATGTAATGAATAGTTTCGCATCGTGCTGGTATTGTTATATATGCAGTACACAATTTGGGTGAGGTATGTAAAAATATGCTTTGTTTTCTTTTGTTAAAGTTAATATATTTTTCTCTAAATTAATAGTAGAATTAAAATTGTTCAAAAAGTCTAAACCTATAATTCCGTCAGATTTACAAGGTAAATTGTCAAATAAATAAAATTTATGTTCATAAAATGTTTCATCGGAAGCCTGCAAAGTTAAATAAACATATCCTTCTGAGTACGTCTTACCACCTATACCGTTTATAACTATAGGGTCTCTATGTACAGGTATCCGTTCCGATAAGAAATTACTGCGAATTGCTGATATTGAGGCGCCTGTGTCTAGTAACCATGAACATTTTGATTACCTAACTGCAAGAATATGTATTTTACATTATTGTCACAATTAAAAATATAATGTTTAGGTCCGAAAAAACTGATTCGATTCAGTAGCTTCTTGTTCTTGTGGGTTTTCGACTTGTGCTGAACAAACTGGTCGATTATTACTCCTACTACTGGAACCTCGACTACGATTCGAATTTACAAAATTACCACGATACTGCCGTGCTGGTCGGGAATTATTATATCTCCAGTTATGATTATTTAAGTACTTACCTCTCTGGTTATAGTTGTAATTATTTTGTCCTCGATTCGAATTGTAATGTCCTCTGTTCATTCGACCTACAGGCGGGCGACTTATCCGTGAAGACCTATAGTAATTAAATTGGTTACCTCGCCTTTGCGTTGCATTAAAAATGTTGTTGGAGGACGAAGGCTGTCCCAGCTCTTCATCCTCGGCCGCACGCACCGCGTCCTTCAGCTGCGAGTAGTCCCTGGCTGATATGATCGTGCTTAGCCGCCTGTTACGCAAGCCATCTGCAAACCTTTTAATTGCAAGTTTTTCATTTATAGGTCTCAAAATCTCACTTGCTTTGGGGTTTTCGTCGCTTTGTGCGATAGTGAGACCTACAAATAAATCTGTCAATTTATCACCAAACTCACTTATTGACATATTGTTTTGAGATAAATTATTTAATTGGTTAA